TATATATATATATATATATATATATATATGTATATATTTATATATATATATATATCTGTTCTTCCACTTGTTTATCTTTATATTTATATTTGTTCTTTTTTATATTACTATTTATTTATTTGTGTATTTGTTTGGATCGCACCAACAAAATAAAATAAAATAAAAACAAGTTGTATTCATCAGCAGCTTATTGAGGTGTATATACACCCCAGCATCATTCCTATAAACCCTCTAGGGTTTAGGGTTTAGGGTTTAGGGTTTAGGGTTTAGTGTCTCCAAACCCTCAGAACTCTATCTTTAGAGCCAGAAGCAGCATGAGCTCCACTAGGAGACCAATCGACAGCATAAACTTTAGGGTTTAGGGTTTAGGGTTTAGGGTTTAGTGTCTCCAAACCCTCAGAACTCTATCTTTAGAGCCAGAAGCAGCATGAGCTCCACTAGGAGACCAATCGACAGCATACACCTCATCACCATGCCCAGGCAAGTCAAACCCTAATTTTTTTTTATTTATATCCCATACCTTCAGCGTGCTGTCTCCGCTGCCTGAAACACAAACCCTAAACCCTAAACCCTAAACCCTAAACCCTAGTGGTGGGGGAAGATGAGGTCTGCGATTCTGTTGGAGGTATTGAACGATAGCTGGAACGTATATTAACATACAAAATATAAACCCTAAACCCTAAACCCTAAACCCTAGAGGGAACCCTACGCTAACAGACCCATAACCACAGCAGCAACAGCAGCAGCAACAGCAGCAGCAGCAGCAGCAGCAGCAGCAGCAGCAGCAACAGCAGCAGCAGTCTCCAAGGGTGTTCCGTCGATCCCACTTCGCAAGCCCAGCTCCACTGAGGGAGCCTCCAACCCCCAAACCCTAAACCCTAAACCCTAAACCCTAAACCCTAAACCCTAAACCCTCACCTGAAAGCAAGAAGCGGCTGTCTGCTGACCAAGCCAGCTGATAGACGGGGCCCACATGCCCCCGCAGCGTCGCGAGGTATTGACCTGTTGTGCCGTTCCAAACCCTACACACAAACCCTAAACCCTAAACCCTAAACCCTAAACCCTAGGCCACTTGGCTTCAGGCTTGTTGCTAGTATATTTTTTATTTTATAGATTAGTGAATATATAAATACAAATATTCAAATATACATTTATATATATATACATATATACACATATATATATATATATATATATATATATATATATATATATATATATA